CTCTGAGCAGCAGAAACAACTTCTCCCTCCTCTAGTACATCCTTTTCTCCTATTTGAACATGGCTATCTATACCCTTAACCTCCTCTTCTCCGGCTAAACATGCCAGCTCCCTTAGCCGTTTCTATAAGGCACCTATATTTAAAATGAGCAGTGTTTATGTCTGCATTCCGTGACACTTTTCCAAATGAGTTAGTGTGGATAGAACTATATTCAGCATATTGTGGTATTAAAAACAAAGATTGTGATCCAAAGAAATTGTGCTTGTCCTCAATTAAGATGGGATGCATTTTATATGCCAGATAGTACCTAAGGAAATGTTGGCATTCTTTTTGTTTTGTTATGACAAAGCAGAACTAGCACACACAGATTTGTTCCGTACAAGTTGTATCAGAAGTTCCTTTCCTTAATACTGCCAAATTTGTCTCTAAGGTGTGAGGCTACTGGAATCAGTATGGCAGATTAGTAAATACTTTTCAGTTGTAACACCCCTTTCAAGGGACCAATGAGTGGAAACCATATGTGTCATGTTTCATTGTGTTGCAGCTACATTTATTTTTCCTCTGGCATTTTTCTGGAGTCACTTGTCTCTGTATGTGCACCAGTGCTTCTGTTGCTGATACAGTGGCACCTCGGGTTACATATGCTTCAGGTTACAGACTCCGCTTATCCAGAAATATTACCCTCGGGTTAAGAACTTTGCTTCAGGATAAGAACAGAAATCGTGCAGCGGCGGCGCGGCGGCAGCAGGAGGCCCCATTAGCTAAAGTGGTGCTTCAGGTTAAGAACAGTTTCAGGTCAAGAACTGACCTCCAGAACAAATTAAGTTCTTAAGCCGAGCTACCACTGTACATTGCAATAAGCAGATTTCTCATTCTGTGCGTTTCTCTCCCTGTTTCTCCTGAAGACTATGATTGCTTTTGATATGGATGGCAAAGTGAGAAAGCCGAAGTTTGAGCTCGATAGTGAGCAAGTTCGGTACGAGCACAGGTTTGCCCCTTTCAACAGTGTCATCACGCCACCACCCGTACACTATTTGCAGTTCAAGGTGAGCCACAAGAACATTACAGGACGTGTGTATATTATATGGTTTCTTTTCCCTTCCTCTTGGATCTTTATCAGTTTGATGGGTTTCCCTCCATTGTAATGGAGGCAGGCAACACTCTGTTCAGTAAGCAAGGCACATCCCAAGGTTCCTTCTTTATTTGCCTGCCTACGTTGGGGAGAATGCCATAGTTAAAACCAAAGCACACGAAATAAAAAGCCATTTCCCAAGTGTTCATTAGTTGCAAAGCATAAAATCTTTTTAAATTATTTAATAGATCGCTTTTTATCCAATTACAAAATTATACAAGGAAGAACTAGGGAGTAAATGTGTAGAAACTATTTTGCTTCATTCTGCTGTCACCTCTGTGCCTCTAAAGTGTAGCCTCATTCAAAAGAAGGATCTTTCTGGGGGATTTTGGCTGTTCTTAAAGGATGCTTATTTTTCTGATATTTAGGAAATGTCTGACCTAAACAAATACAGTCCTCCACCTCAGTCCTCTGATCTCTACATGGCTGCTAGCAAACACTTTCAGCAAGCTAAAATGATCCTGGAAAATATCCCTAACCCAGACCATGAGGTGAGATCCTTTCTAACATATTACTAAGAATTGCCTGTATAAATTGTTGGCACTTGATTCGGGCGTTTTTTAAATGGTGAGCATTTAACATTGCTTCAGTTACAGTCCTGGCTTCTGGCTTGGCTGTGCTGCGATCCCACTGGCTTCTGGGATTCAGAATATTTTTTTTCTTGTTTTCCTTGTTTCCTCCTCCAAAAACTGGGTGCGTCTTATGGTCCGGTGCGTCTTATAGAGCAAAAAATACGGTACCTTGAAAGCAGAGTGTTGGCACTTGCGTAAAGTTTTGCTCCTTTTTAAATACAAAAAACGAATACAGTAAACACTGCAATTACCATTTTATTGTGAATTCAGTTCTTTTTTTTTCTGCCTGTGAACTATATCAAACTTGGAATATTTCTGTTTAGGTCAACAGAATTCTTAAAGTTGCTAAGCCCAATATTGTGGTCATGAAGCTGCTGGCAGGAGGTCACAAAAAGGATTCTAAAGTAAGCAGATTGTTGCTAAATTAATATCACTGCTTTTGAAACATAGCATTGGACTATCAGAAGGGGTAGATGTATTGCAAATATGTCACATGCTAGTGGGCCATGATTAAATAGTATATTTTTAATGGCACACTCGATAATTGGTGCATAGTTTCAGTTAAAATGGCAGATAACAAACTATATTGGTGGGGCATGTTGCTGTAACTACTTAATAGGATAATATTTAATACATTTATTCTAAAGGACATTGTGCTATGTTGTAATACAGTGGTACCTCGGGTTACATACGCTTCAGGTTACAGACTCCGCTAACCCAGAAATAGTGCTTCAGGTTAAGAACTTTGCTTCAGGATGAGAAGAGAAATCTTGCTCCGGCGGCGCAGCAGCAGCTGGAGGCCCCATTAGCTAAAGTGGTGCTTCAGGTTAAGAACAGTTTCAGGTTAAGTACGGACCTCTGGAACGAATTAAGTACTTAACCCGAGGTACCACTGTACCTTAAAAGTCTTGGTTGGGCTGCAGCCCTTTACCAACATACTTGAGAATAAGCCCCATTGAACTCCATGTCCTGATTGGTACATAACACCAACCCACCAGTTTTGGGGGTGACGCTGTGGGTTAAACCACAGAGCCTAGGACTTGCCAATCAGAAGGTTGGCAGTTCGAATCCCCGTGACGGGGTGAGCTCCCGTTGCTGAGTCCCAGCTCCTGCCAACCTAGCAGTTCGAAAGCATGTCAAAGTGCAAGTAGATAAATAGGTACCGCTCCGGCGGGAAAGTAAATGCCGTTTCCGTGCGCTGCTCTGGTTCGCCAGAAGCGGCTTAGTCATGCTGGCCACATGACCCGGAAGCTCCATAGCTGTCAACGTTTCCCTTTTTTTAAAAAGGGAAATTCCCTTATTCTGAATAGGATTCTTCACAAGAAAAGGGAAAAGTTGACAGCTCTGGACAACTCAGTGGGTTTATCATAAGCTGCTATTCCCAGAGCCAGTTTTGACCCCATTTTCAAAATGTGTGTCAGGAGCTGCGCTTTAGTCACTCCAGGCAGTTTGCGCCTATGAAATGGGAAAAAATAAAGTCATCCCTTGTATAGCAAGTACTTGGAAGACCCCCAAAGCAAACCCTAACCCCCCTCCCAAAAAATCAGAAAAAGTCTCCACACACTCAGGATGTATTCAAAAGGCACATGAAATGGATAAAGACTGGCCCCTCCATCCCTAGTCCAATAGGGATGTGTATCTAATTGGCAGTGTATCTAATTTTTGCATAAGTTCTGTATGGTTTGTGTCTGGAAGAGATGGTAAAGAGTGCTTTGTCTCACCTTTTTGCTGTTCAGCTTCAGGTTTTTCTCACTCTTGGAATCCAAAATGCTTAATTAAGGAGTCATTTGGACATGCTTTAAAGTATCTTTCAATGCTTTTTCTTCTAGGTTCCGCCAGAATTTGACTTCTCCCCTCACAGATACTTCCCAGTAGTGAAGCTTATTTGAGGAAAAGGATTAGCAGAACAAACAATCTATAATGTGTACAACAGAGCTGCTTTGGTAGGCTCTTTGATACTGTGCTCAAAAGGGACATGATTCACTTGGACAAAAGTACCGTTGTATTGGGAGTAGCTTTATTTTGGCTTCCACACAGCCTGACAACTGCTGTTTTAAAGTGGTTTGTGTAACGTTTTACCATTGGACCTGATTTTAACAACTTCATTGTTAAAGCATTGTATGTTTCGGTTTTACTTCATTTTTACCCATAAATCATTTTTATGAATGGCTTTTGAATATTTGTAAGCATTTCAGAACACACTTGCCCACTTCAAAAGTACACTGCAGTAAGGGAGCGGCTATATTTTGATGACTAAAAAGCAGAACTCGCCTCTGAAGGAACACTAGTAGGCTCTGCAGATGTGCTGCATGTTTTTATTAGACCACATATGAAATGTTCTTAACTTACACACACACACAAAAGTGTATTGGAGTTTTGCTAAGAAATAATTTGGAAGGCATATCCTTTTAGAGTGCAAAATCTTCAAAAGAAGGGGGTGAAATTTCTGGCCACAGGTTGAGTATTCTAGACAGATGTCTTTGGATTTAATTGCTGAGAGTTTGCATTCAGGACTTCACATTATTTGGCAAGCCTCTATACATACATGGTTGCACCTTGCTCTCCACTTGTTTTAAAGGCTGCCCTATACCAAGTTATTTCCGTAAATTGTAAGCCTTAAAATGATTTGGACCACTTTTATTTGGTTAGCTAAATGTCCTGTGCACTGTTTTCATATTTTAGTTTTTGAAGCATAATACAGTTGAGGGTTTGGGATTTTTTTGTTTACACGTTTGAAGTATCAACTAAACAGCTGTAAACAGCACCATTAAAGGTAAGGATATGTCTATACAAATAAAGAGCCAGCTAGTTTCATGGAATGTTCTGTAGAATACGTGCTTCATTCTTCATAGCTTAAATAGGAGACCTAAAATCTAGACAGGGGACGCGGGTGGCGCTGTGGGTAAAACCTCAGCGCCTAGGACTTGCTGATCGCATGGTCGGTGGTTCGAATCCCCGCGGCGGGGTGCGCTCCCGCTGCTCGGTCCCAGCGCCTGCCAACCCAGCAGTTCGAAAGCACCCCCGGGTGCAAGTGGTAAACGGCATTTCCGTGTGCGGCTCTGGCTCGCCAGAGCAGCTTCATCACGCTGGCCACGTGACCCGGAAGTGTCTGCGGACAGCGCTGGCTCCCAGCCTCTTGAGTGAGATGGGCGCACAACCCTAGAGTCTGTCAAGACTGGCCCGTATGGGCAGGGGTACCTTTACCTTTACCTTTAAAATCTAGACACACTGTATAGTACATTTTGTTTCCCCTTGGAGTATGTTTTACTTGGAATAAGACACCATCAACCAGGCTATTTGGGTTTTTTTACTCTTTAATTTAATTCACCATTGATCGAAATAGGTTCTCATTTCACAAAGACTAGGCTGCTTTATCGAAGTAATCAAAATCAGATACGTAATGGCATATCTAATTGGTTAGCCTTGTGCTTATGCCACAAGTGGAAGGTGATTGCAAAAGAAGGGAGGCCATTTTTGTTATTACCATCAAGCACCCCCAAGACAGTTTTGGAAGGTTAGGGGATTCTCCAGAGATTTTCAATAGCTGGAGGAGGGGAATAGGATTTGGGTGGGGGTATCTACTCCCTGCCTCAAAAGTGCTTGTGCAAGAGCACCAACTGGATAGAACCGTTAGTTGGTAAACATGAAAAAAGATTATGGAGCAACAAACTTGTACCACATTTACTATGTGCCTGTTATTTTTAAGGGTCACCACTACGGTCAAGGATGAATTTCAACAGGTATAAAGTTCTATGACCCTATACTGATTCCACTTCAGTACCATGTTCTTTCCTATTCGTGTGATAAGATTAGAGTACTGAGCTTTGTTTTACGTTATGATACTTCATAAGAAATAGTCGATATTATCTGAGCTTGTAGATTCATCTTCTCCATGTTTTCAAGTTGCAATAAGATCATAAATCATGCTCTTGGCTACTACTATGGGCGAATATTTCAGTGTTTAAAAACTGGTTTATAGAGTATAACCCTAGGATATCTTCTTTCTGGAGGAAATTGCTATGGAAAACAAGTACAAAATCCAGTAATAATTGGGAAGAACTGTCTTTCTTTGATAGCTAGAGAAAACAATGGCATTTCTAAAGTTTAAGAAATTCCAGTTTTGGTAGCTAGACAACTTGTATTTGGGGGCTTTTTTGTCACAGTTCAAGGAGAACCAGAAGAACAGGTATAGATTCAATTTTTTTTAAAAAAGACTTCCTCCTGAAATGTTTTCATGGCACACTTCATAGGAATAGTAAGAACATTACATCAGGAGACAAGTTAATAAGGTCAGAAATTATTTAAATAAACCCTAATTGATCCGCTTCAGTCTAACATTTCAAGCCTTGAAGGTTTCAAGCCTTGTCTCAGTGTCTGTAGTTGTTTCCTGCAACAACTCATTATTCACAGCCTCTGTTGATGTTCTTCGCCAAGCTTAAATAAGTGGTTTTGCATGTTGGGATCTTCAAGTTTCTGGACTGAAAAGAAGAAATTTTATGAAATTCTAAATACATAGAGTTCGGTTAATTAAATATTTAATCACAGAATAGTTACACATAAACATTATGCCTGCCTATTGATCATCGTGCAAAATTTACATATTTTCAACTGACAGTTTTTCACAACATAATGGCAGCTGTCAGCATGACGTCCCATGTTGCTAAATTAGGACAAAGTTCGCTAAATACCCAGTTTGAAAATGTTTTAAATGTCACTGAACTAATGAAAAATCTGACTGATCACTGTGCAAAATAGTTTTAAGGTATTCTAGAATATCTTTGAGAACTATGACCTTCAGAATGGAAAATGCACCACTTACCATTAAAGTTACTTTGGTTGTCAACAAGAGCAGCTTGCTTATCTGTTTCAGATTCCGCCTCGTTCATTTCTAAATTGTAGTCCACTACATTATCCTGGTTTACTGTTTTGATTCCAAATTCACCTGCAAAGACAAGTCAGAATAATTCTTTTTATGAATCTTATTGAATATAAAAGTTGTCTTTTACTGTAGAGCATTCAATATTTCAAATATTAACACTGGGCTTTCTTGGCTCATTACAATCAATCAGTCAACCAACCAACCAACCAGCATAGGCACGTTACATTTTCAGTAGTTAGGCGAGATTACCAATGGTTTTATTTAAATATTGTAATACCTGATAGTGCTCATTTGTCTCTTAACACCTTTATACCCTGGTAAATTCTTACCACCTGATCATTTCTTTGAGATACAGGCAATATTTGCATTGGTGGCATGCTAAATCAAACATATTCTCATAGTCACCCCTTTATTCCTCCAAGTGGTCTGCTGTATGATCTTGTCTTACCAATACGTAAGGTTCTTTTAACAATTAGCAAGAGGCTGGGTGGCATGTCCTCCCTTAGGGTTTGGAATTAGGATGATCTATTTTAGAAACCTGCTAGGCCTTGTCAATGCAGTAGAATGAGTTTTGGATGTGTAGCATACTGCCCTACTGCAGGAATGGTCTGCATCCAGCACTCCCAAGAAAATTGACATCCTCTTCACAAAATGTTTTATTTAAAAAATAATTTTGACTTCCTATGTTGTGAGGTCCTCAAGGCTTCCTCTACTGGGGAAAAATACCATTCCTACAGGTCCAAGTTGTTTGAGACCTCCCCACCTCCCCAAAATCTGTCTTTAATAAACTGGCCACACACACACACACACACACACACACACACACACACACTTTTGGCCTCTGACCCCTGGCCCGGCAGCCCAAACGAGGTTAGTCACTCCTGCCCTATGATAACCTCTAGCACAAAGAGGGAAAGTAGTATGTTCAAAGTGAAACAAGCTCACTTCTAAACATGGTTTTGGAACTAAAGATGCTCCACCATTCTGTTTCCAGTGGTAGATAGACAAATAATATACTTCGAATATTGTGGGGAGGAAAACAAGTAAACATTTGGCATTCTGCTTCCTCAGTGATAACTATTAATTATAAACAGGAATGGAAGTTTGACACCCAAGTGCTACACCCAAAACACAGTTTTTCAAGAGTGATTAGATGTCAAACTACAGCTGATTATATTTTTCCTTTGCTGCTTGTTTATACCCTCAAATATGTCCTTCCTGGACAGCAGCCAAGCCTTTATACTAACCAGTCTTTCTGGTTTCCTGTTCATCCTGCTGCAGCTCATCATTTAAAAGGTGCTCTCGTTCAACTTCTTCATCGTCTGCTTTTGCTTGATTGGCATTTTGCTGCTGCATAGCTTCTGCCAATTTGCCTGCCTGCTTTTCTGCTGCAACTTCAAGTACATTTTTAACTTCTTCATATGACTTCTGTTCCATTCCCGGTTCTGGGGGCAGACCATTATTATCTGCGTTAAGCTTAGCAACTATTTGTAGGCTGTCCTGTTCAACAGAGTGTTCCTCTTCCTTGGGTTCCTTTTCGTTGACAGCAAAAGCAGTTCCTTTTGTAAACAGTTGTAAAAGCGCAATAAGAACACAGTGCAAGAATGAGATTGGTATGAAAATTTAAGTATTTAAAACTTAAGCTGCTTTTCCTTGCCTAACTTGTTTCACAGAATGGGCACACCACCTATTGAAACCAGAAGTCCATTGCAGTCTTTTGGTTGGTTAAAGGAGCTTGTCATACAAGACACTTACTGAACACATTGTTCCAGTTCTGGAGACCATCCTGAACTTCTCTTTTAATACATATTCATGGACTGAGAAAGTATATGGCTAGGAAAGATCTGCAAGGCATGCAACCTGATGTAACCTTTACACTGACTTGAGATCCTCCATGCCAAAACATTCTTCATTCATTAGGTCCTGTTATCCAGCACAGTCAAATCAAGTATAAAATGGAGGAAGAGGTGTTGGCAAGGTACATGATAAAGGTAAAGGGACCCCTGACCTTTAGGTTCAGTCGCAGCCGGCTCTGGGGTTGCGGCACTCATCTCGCTTTATTGGCCGAGGGAGCCTGCATACAGCTTCCAGGTCATGTGGCCAGCATGACTAAGCCGCTTCTGGCGAACCAGAGCAGCACACGGAAACACCGTTTACCTTCCCGCTGGAGCAGTACCTATTTATCTACTTGCACTTTGATGTGCTTTTGAACTGCCAGGTTGGCAGGAGCTGGGACCGAGCAAGGGGAGCTCACCCCGTCGCGGGGATTCGAACCGTCGACCTTCTGATCGGCAAGTCCCAGGCTCTGTGGTTTAACCCACAGCGCCACCCACGTCCCAAGGTACATGATACTGAGGGATTAATATGAAACTGGCAATGTGTACGGTTTTACTGCTTCCAATGGGCTGTTCCACTTTCAGAGTTTAGATAGTAATAGTTGATAAATAAAGAGAAACTTTCACCAGGTGTATTTTGTATTACTTAATGTTTACTGGGCGGGGTCTAGGAATCAGCATGATGGCGAATGAGATGGGACTTTTTTACTCAGTAAAACCTCCCATTGTCCACACCTGCAATCCCTTAAAAAGGACTCTGAATAAAGATGGAAAATCAGTAAATACAAAGCAGCAAGTGAACATATAGCAGAGTTTTCTGGGCAAGCTGGATATTTCTCCTTAAGATCAGCAAAATGGGTTCAGATTTTTATAAGCTTCTCTCACGAACTAGATGTTTAACATTCATCTCACAAATAGCAGCACAAAATACACAATGACGCAGCACAGGTATGACTCACTTGAGTCTATTTACCTGCTGTAACCAGATTTTACTACCATCCTCAAGGCAAGAGAAAGTTGGGTGGGGAGTATTAATCAAGGAGGTGCATCAAAAGCGGGGGGGGGGACCCCCAGGATCCAGTATCTCATTTGGGTTTGGGACAAAGTTCCATCTTCAGAGGACAACTTGGGACAGGATGTGTCAATGTCCAAACGGTATGCAGAGATACATGAGCAACAGACTGATCAACGAGAGTGGAATGTTCCATGCAGTGTCAGAAAAGCAGCTTAGGATCTAGTAAATTTTTCACCGTAACAGCAGTCAACAAGCATAGTCTTGCTTAGGCCAGTTAGTTTACAACAGAGGTGGTTAACCTTTTTCGAACCGAGGGCCACATACCAGCGGTAGGTATGGTCAATGGTATTGTATGTACACCTGCACGCACACATGCTACTATGTACATTTAGGAATGAAGAAGTTTTATCTGCCATTTTGCCCTCAACTGAATGTTACTTCTCAATGTCCCGCTGCACTTAACTTGAAAGCCCTTTCCCCCAGGCCTTAACTTTGTATGAGGGAGAGAATGTCTGTGATTGTGGTAGTGGCTCCTATGCAGCCGTTTTGGGGGTACAGTCTCCTTTCCTTCTCTGTGATGATTATTCTGCATTAACCATCTGAACCAGGGGGGACCAAGGCAGCACTGCAAAGGCTTTCTTTCACTGGTGCAGCAGGGCAGGTGTCCTAAAGTCTGAGCTATCATTTAATTAATCCTCTCTAGTCTTCCAAGAAAGAAAGTTAAGAGGCAAGATGTGCAGGTACCTTCTGAAACTGTTTCTGCACAGTGAGTTAGTGTTGTATATTTTTCCTAATATTGAAGAATGATCCCTGTTGATTAGCCAGAAACTCACTGTGTGTGTGTGTGTGTGTGTGGATATATAATCATGTTGTCGGGCTAGTTTGTGTTATGCCACATTCCCCGTGGCAGCCATTTTGTGGCTGGTGCTCACAGTAGTCTCTGAATTCAAAATGTGCACAGGGGTCCAAAAAAGTTGGGAGACCCTCGCTCCTCACAGTGACATATCAAGCAATAGCCACTTCCACACTACATGATAAAGGTAAAGGGACCCCTGACAGTTAAGTCCAGTCTCTGACGACTCTGGGCTTGTGGCGCTCATATCGCTTTACTGGCCGAGGGAGCCAGCGTACAGCTTCCGGGTCATGTGGCCAGCATGACTAAGCCACTTCTGGCAAACCAGAGCAGTGCACGGAAACGCCGTTTACCTTCCCGCCGGAGCGGTACCTATTTATCTACTTGCACTTTGACGTGCTTTCGAACTGCTAGGTTGGCAGGAGCTGGTACTGAGCAACGGGAGCTCACCCTGTCACGGGGATTTGAACCACCGACCTCCTGATTGGCAAGCCCTAGGCTCTGTGGTTTAACCCACAGCGCCACCCGTGTCCCTACATGATAAAGATACAGTACAGCAAATGTGACTTAAGACCTTTCCTGCTTTGCAATGACATGTAGCATAGAATGGCATTATAAACAAGGGAGATACACTGTTGTGTTTCCCAATGTCATGTGAGCAGCGACTGAGTTTGTGAAAAAATACTGGCGCAGCAATGCCTTGCAAACAATAGGGTCTTTGGTTTGGATTGCAAATGGGGAAATCCCTTTTAAAACCTAGCAGCAAACAGCAGAAGGAAAATGAGGCCACTAATCAAATGCCTGGAAAATGGTTTTAACCCAGGACCAGATTGCCCTGTCCAGGATCCCCATCATTAGCTGTGACCATATTTCATTCATTGGTGGGGTGGGCGGGAGCCCAACGAAAACTGAAAGCACATTCCCTTGTTTTACAGGCAATGAAAGCATCGCTTCAAGAACTGAACACTCACATACCTATATTTCTAGCATTGCTAAGCTCACAACATGACTACTGTTAAGATAGTAAGCCTGAGAGCCTGAAAGTGATAGAATCACTGTTTCAACTCTGGCCAAAGTCACAACTTTGTATTGGGGAACAAATCTTACTCATGCAAAGTTGTTCTGTGTTTTGGACTATTTGTTTTAGATGCTAACACCTGATGAAGAGACTGGAAATTAATGGTAATCTTTGCTACAACACACTTACCTTTTTCTCTTTGATAATCCAGTTCTGCCACATTTTTTATGCTGGGTGGCGTTGGCTTTAAGATTTCTAGTTTCAAAGAATCATCAGGGATGTAATGTTTTCCTTGAAGTTCATTTCCCTGTTTCGTCAGGTCACCCTGCCCGAACTCTGTTGGCTCTTGAATATTTATCTAAAACAAAAACAAAAAAACAGCCCTACTTGATTCATACAATTCTTCAACGCAAATGAATAATCTACTATTAGAATTTTCACTTTAAGTGGTTACACAGCAAAATTAAAACAAAGTCCTTGCTAGAAACTGAATGACAGTAAAACAGACGGCTGTTTTCCCTTCTTGTGGCTGCTTCACAAGCCACAAGATAATGCAGCCTGCTATGTTTGGAAGAAGTTACATTTGACAATAGGTAAAGGGACCCCTGACCATTAGGTCCAGTCATGACCGACTCTGGGGTTGTGGCGCTCATCTCGCTTTATTGGCCGAGGGAGCCAGCGTACAGCTTCCGGGTCATGTGGCCAGCATGACTAAGCCGCTTCTGGCGAACCAGAGCAGCGCACGGAAACGCCGTTTACCTTCCCGCCGGAGCGGTACCTATTTATCTACTTGCACTTTGGCATGCTTTCGAACTGCTAGGTTGGCAGGAGCAGGGACTGAGCAATGGGAGGTCACCCTGTCGCGGGGATTCGAACCGCCGACCTTCTGATCAGCAAGTCCTAGGCTCTGTGGTTTAACCCACAGCACCACCCGCATCCCTACATTTGACAATAGCTACATGCATATATTTCACCGCATGCCTATGACCTGGGGAGCAGGTCCCATTAATTTCTAGCGGCAAGTTAAACACTTTTCTCTCCTACTGAAATCAGAACTTAGGTAGTTTTCAGCTTTACCACATTGTGACAGGATCTAGCCGGATTTGTGATTGGATCTCTCCACATAATTGTCTGCTCTTAAGAAAGGCTTATGCAGGGAGATGACAATTTTAATCAAGGCCACTGTATGAGGAGAGTCAACCTCCCCATAACCCTATTGGGGGGGGACCATAGAGCTGCTATTAGCCACAGAGGGAAAAGAAAACAAGCATCCTGTATGTTTGGATCAGGTCTGTGGGAGTGGGGAGAACAAAGCCTTCTTCCTCCTCATGCCAGCTTTCAAAAGATTATTACTTCAGGTGATCCAGTCAGAGTTCTCTCATATAGTTGGCGTAGTGAGAGATAGATGGAGGGAAGGTAATTTTGGCTTTAGTGCAAAGTGACGATTCATAAGAACAAACTTTGAAAGCTGTTTGGATACTTCTGAGCAATTTTATTTTTAAATTCATTAAAAAAACTTACTTTTTACGGTTAATCATTTCCTCAAACCTTCACAACCTTATGAAAATGTACTAAGTACAACTTTTATGTGCCACTCCCTGTCAGCTATGGTGACAAATGATTTTATGTCCACAAATAAATCTCAGTTAAGCAAGAGGAAGTTTACCTGTTGGCGTAGAATGGAGCTATACTATTTACCAAAAAAATAAAATAAAAATGAGGGTCAAAGGTTTTGAAGGAAGAAAGTGTCAGAAATCTTCCTCAAACAACAGGTGTTGAACTGAAAGTTCCTTGTCCTGGTTCAAGAACTTAAATAATGTAACTGAAACAATGTTGATTCTTTTAAGTTGCTGCTGCTCTAACTGGGGAGTTAGATAAGCATGCCAAAGTTTAGGCACTTCTAAAGTTAAATGAGCACACTGGAATTCCAAAAGGTCAAGGCAGCAACAAATGGAAGGAATATGCAATCAAAAAATGGAGATGGGAAGAGAAGTATTGTGGTTCACCTTCTTCCTACTTTGGGCCATCAACAATTGTAGTTGTTCAGCCCCACAGAGAGGTCTGGATAATGGCCTGAATCAGTTCAGCCAGCCTGGTTCACCTACAATTTGTGTATAAATACCCCTCTAAAACAAAATTTTAAAACTTACTTGATCATTTCTCTCTAATATTTTTGAACTATTCTTCATGTCTTCTGGTATCTGACTGCCTTTTTTGCAGGTGGCTTCTATTTTTTCTTCACATTGTTCTTTCAGTTCCTTCATCTGACTGATACACTGAGACCTAGAACCAAGCAACAGAATGTCGTTTGTAAAATGTGTTCTTCAAAACACAAAAGATCTGCACAACTTGAAACCCACGAAGTCAAACACAGCCTGTCAGACACATACTCTTGCCTTCTGACAACCTCCTTGTTTTTGTAGTCCTAGAGAGATCATGAATTGGAGATTTATTGAGCCCCTCGTCACAAATTGTACAGTCACAAATTGTGCAGGCCCAGTGGCAGATTTATAGCTTTGCACAGTGAGTGCAGAATTAGGGCCTCGTGCTCCTGAGAAGCCTCCCATCTACTAGTGTATATTGTTAACCAAGAGAATATTTTTGAAACATGACAACCAACAATGTATTGCCAATTGCTGAATTTGAGTATTTTAGCTGGTTGCATCGTTTCTGCTTCTCCAACTCCCTGATTAAAGTTAGTACAGGCTGGTCCATTAGGCAACTAGGGCTTAGTTCAAGCAATTAAAAAGTGTTCAAGCAATTAAAAAAAAGGTCCCAAGAATCTCAAAGCCACACTTGTTTCTGTCTGACCCTGGCAGACATTTCTGCCAATCTCGTGAGACAACCAGCTCTCTGCACCACTCAGCCAATTGCAGGCCAATTGTTGTTGCCATGATGACAATCCAGCTACATTAGCAGATATACTTTTCTGGTAGACCCAGGAGCCAGCAGAACTGCAGAGGGATGTAGGTAAGGCAAGTTAGAAATGTTGTTGTTTAGTCATTTAGTCGTGTCCGACTCTTCGTGACCCCATGGACCAGAGCACGCTAGGCACTTCTGTCCTCCACTACCTCCCGCAGTTTGGTCAAACTCATGCTGGTAGCTTCGAGAACACCATCCAACCATCTCGTCCTGTCGTCCCCTTCTCCTTGTGCCCTCCATCTTTCCCAACATCAGGGTCTTTTCCAGGGAGTCTTCTCTTCTCATGAGGTGGCCAAAGTATTGGAGCCTCAGCTTCACGATCTGTCCTTCCAGTGAGCACTCAGGGCTGATTTCCTTAAGAATGGAGAGGTTTGATCTTCTTGCAGTCCATGGGACTCTCAAGAGTCTCTTCCAGCACCATAATTCAAAAGCATCAATTCTTGGCGATCAGCTTTCTTTATGGTCCAGCTCTCACTTCCATACATCACTACTGGGAAAACCATAGCTTGGCATAGGACTGTGAAACACTTAAAGAACTGAGGAGGGATATAGGTAAGGCAAGTTAGAAATATCCTATATTTAAATGCGAAATTGTACCCAACCTTTGTCGTTTTGGTTTGTTCACAGGTACAGCATTATAATTAAATTCTTAGATTTGTGAGCCAGTGCAGCAAAATATTTAAAACAGCAAACCTGATTTTTATATTTTTTTTAATCCCATTGACTTCAATGTAGGAAACACATTGTTTAAAATCTAAATATGTAACCAAAGCTAGTGCTTGAATAACTTGGCTTGTGGCCATTTTGCCTATACAGAAGCTGGCCAATCATCACATACTTACATGTCATATGTAATTTTTTTCTGAAGGTTTGTCTGGTTTTTCTTAAACCTGTAAATGTCAAGTTGGAGCCTTCCACATTCCTTCTGCAGACCTCTCAAGTTTTCTGAGTAAAAATTAAATTTTATTAAAAACAAGCAGAAGGAGAAAATAATGAACGATGAGTAGGAAAGAACATTCTTATTTATTTCACCAATTATTCATAGTAATTAGATTAAAATGCTGCTTCAGTCTTTTCGGTTTATGTGACCTGTGTAGCTCAAACATATGCATGTTTAGTAAATTCCACTACATTCAATGGAGTTTGCTGCCTAGTGTCTGTGAAATCCATACTGCACAAGCAGACTTCCATTTGCTCCCGGCAACTTCTCCTTCCTTTCTGCCCCCAAAATCTGGAACAGGTTTGGGGGCAGTAGCGGGGGCGGGTAACAGAAGTCCTGGTGTGCAAGCAGAAGCCTATTCTGCTGGTGAACGGGCACAATTGATTATCACCCTATACATGAATCAATAAGGATTGCAGCCTTAGAAGCATTATTGCAAGGGACCATGAAGCTATCATCCCAACTTCCATCTGCAAGAAGAATTTTCTGTTCACCTGAGTGCAGATCCACTTTTCCCTCCCATACTTTTCCAAAGCTCCCCCTCCCTCCAAAACAAGAAAAAGCACTTTGGGTTATTTTGTTTGCTTTTGCACCAAAAAATACTGGGAGAATATTGAAAATGCACATTATTAAAAGAAGAGTATTAACTGTATTTTCCTCCATATAACTCTTTGAGTTAATCTTTATAGTCTTGCATGATTCTAGCCTGAAATCCAGTAGCCTACGACTTCCATTCCTATTCCACCTGGCTCTTTTCCTTTGAGATTTGTGGACCTTACCTCCTGCAACTACCTTTAAGTCCCTCACAAATTGGTTTTTTTTTTTAACATGAAGGTTCTCCTCCCTGGATACAGTTATTTATCCCTTGATGTCTGGTTAAATAAGATTTATTTATTTAGCTCTCTCATCACAGTTCATATCATTAACTACTACATTAGAACTATATTAAGTGCATAACTGGACACAGGTGGTGCTGGGGTCTAAACCACAGAGCCTAGGACTTGCCGATCAGAAGGTCAGCGGTTTGAATCCGTGACAGGGTGAGCTCCCATTGCTCGGTCCCTGCTCCTGCCAACCTAGCAGTTCGAAAGCACGTCAAAGTGCAAGTAGATAAATAGGTACTGCTCCAGCGGGAAGGTAAACGGCGTTTCCGTGAGCTGCTCTGGTTCGCCAGAAGCGGCATAGTCATGCTGGCCACATGACCCAGAAGCTGTACGCCGGCTCCATCGGCCAGTAAAGCGAGATGAACGCCGCAAGCCCAGAGTCAGTCACGACTGGACCGAATGGTCAGGGGTCCCTTTACCTTTAAGTGCATAACTAGATGAGATGTTGGTCAGCCATGTATAGCTCTCTTTAAATTTTTGAAAACACAGCCATAAGTAGCCAAATCTGAAATGAGGCTATCACACTGGGGATAGGGGGAGGAGAGAGGGAGCTAACATTTCTACAATGGCATTTAATTGATGATTATTCCCTTTTCCCAAAACTATCCCCAATTGAGCAAACAGCAGCTGGCAGGGGCACCATGGCAATATTAATAAGAAAAACAGCATTTAGAAAGGTTTTAAAAAACCAAAACCCTCCCCAAGAATGACAATCTTGATCTAATAAAAGAGCCCCTTTGTGGCTGCTTTTAAGAAAATAAAAAAAGGATTTCCTAGGTTGACCCAAGGCTCTGTCTTCAAGTAGTAAGTTTCTAGGTCCCACAGTTTTATACTGTCTCTGTTTAAAGCGGGTGGGGGGGTTACATTCTGAAACAGCTACAGCTGCCCCCATACTTTCCTACTATTCCAGCCTGGGGGGGAAATGTATCAGTAGACATACAATGGGCGAAGGTATAAAAATAAGCAAACTTAATTGCTGTGCAGATGGTGCTTTGCTGAGATTTACCTTTCAAATTCTGGATGAGTCTTTCATTTGTTGTAATGTTATTCATCAGCATTGCCTGAAAAAAGGAAGGAAGGAAGGAAGGAAGGAAGGAAGGAAGGAAGGAAGGAAGGAAGGAAGGAAAAAAATGAATTGTTTGAGTGCTTGAAAAACAATGGTTTCCATTACTACATTATCCCAGCCCTATATATTCGTTGCCTATGTTCAGCACGCAGGAAAATCAAAAGAGCAAAGATCGCAGATTGGACATGGGGCCAACAAGAAGACTCCACTGGAATGCTACCTAAATGCTGGGTATACTTTTAAGAAAACAAAAAAATTGTCCCCAAGTGGCATAAAGTATCATCTTTTTCGGGGGTTATTAGCACAAGGATAGGTAGAATATACATCACGGGTCAGCAAACGTTTTCAGCAGGGGGCCGGTCCACTGTGCCTCAGACCTTGTGGGGGCTGGACTATATTGGGGGGGGGGAAATGATGCAAGAGCACCATGAGCCCCTGTGGCTGCTTACCTGTGTCTTGCGAGTGGCAGGGGCTGTCGGTGGCAGCAGGGGGACAATGAGTGGCAAGCGAAAGGACTCCAGAGAGAGGCTGCTTAAAATGGCGGCCGCTGAAGCACTGCTGCTGGCACCAACAAAGCCCAGCCCCCTTCCTCCTCTAGGCAGGGCAGGGAGAAGCCAGGAGGAGGGAGGGAGAAGGTGCCGCTGCCGTGTGAGGGAGAGGGAGGGAGGGAGAGCGAAAGAACGTGTGTGCTGGCGATCCACGCAGCGATTTCCGGACCGTCCACGGGCCAGATCCAGAAGCCAATTGGGCTTGATCCGGCCCGCGGTCCTTAGTTTGCCTACCCATGATATACATGAATAATTATAACTGTTTCAGCTGTGATTCTCAGGATCATCAAAGCATCCAGCAACAATACGCAAATCGGTATACTGCGCTTTTAATTCATCCCCAAGCATGAAGCTCTTTCCTTATCAAGCTGCCTCAATTTAGCCTACAAGTTAAAACTGTGTGTGTAAACTCTCCTCACAAAGAGAGAGACCACTGAGGTGGCTGCTGCTTTGACAAAATCCTGTGAAGCCGTATGGAGCTCAAATTCAAACTAGCTAGGAAACTCCGCTTAATTATGTGGGCATAAGATCTGGCAAACGCCTTGTAGCTAACCCTGCACAAAGTTAATGCAGGCAACAGGAGAGGGAGAGATCAGCAAATACAGAAGGCCTTTTGTATTAGCTCTCCTTTAAATCTTGTTCTTAAAATAATACAGCAAGCCCTTGTTTGTGTAAAAAAGAGAGCCGATTCATTTATTGCAGCTAGAGCTTAGATATCTGATCACAAAGTTGAACTGTAGCTAGTTTTGCAAAAATGTCTTGCTCCAGCTGGAGGGCAGATGGTATAATCCTGCTGGTAGTAATTTCCTGGAGAAAGAACAGCTACATAAAAATAATCCATTCAGAGCATACAAACTAGTTCATTGTGTATCTGTAGTATACATGTGTCAGTTTATTATGACCAAGGCTGTGCTGGACTACTGTGCAAATACAGAATTATAGGTATCAGATGGATAAGCCATGGTTTGCCCCACCCTGGCTCATGTTTAGACTCCCCCAAACTACAAACAGTACAAACCTTGGCCTACAGCTCATGTTTTGCCTGCAGCAATACAGATTGGCTTAGCTCCAGGTAGTGCAGCAGTAGCAGGATGACCAAGCAAGGAACAAAATGGCTGCCGTTTTTACTATGAGAGCCTTGTGGCTTCACACCCTGGCATGGTTTGGCTTAGTGCTGCCTGTGAATCAAGGCCATTGAGTTGTATCCATTGGTTGCATGGGCAGAAGGCAGCTTGCACGTCCAATCTTTCTCTGCCTCTTCTCCCCAATGTAGACACCAAGGACCCTCTCTAGAGCAGTGGTTCCCAATTGGTGGCCTGTGGACCACAGGGCTCCCATGTAACTCACCCAGGGGATCCATGGCACAGTGGCACTTTTCACTTAACAAAAGCATGGCTTTTGAAAAAGGGGAGGTCTGCAGTACTTAGCTAATTGGCAGCCACTGCTCTAGAGCGTTGGAGGACCCCCTGAGTGTACATAGTTGCAGTACAAAAGAATTGGCCAATCCTTCCATCCAATTTTGGGCAAATCCCCCATCCCTCTGCAGTGGAGAAAAAGCACACCAGGTTGCGCTTGCAGGTACATTTGTATGCAGCCCAAGAAACCTACCAAAAACCTCACAAGGGCACTTCCACAGAAGACTCTCTGCTAAAAAGTGTACATTTGCATGTACCTTTTTAGGATCATTCTAGATACTGAGGTTTTTCTAGGATGAAGTAACAGCTATGACTCAACCACTCAAAGGACAGTGTGCTACAATTCTTCCACTGTGGAGAAACGGCTAGTAATCAACGTTCAGACTGTTAATCCAATCTGCCAGTAGATGGAAATGATCCCACCAAGCATGACATTTCACATCCCTCGCAATGTGGAAGGAGCTGTTTGTTAGTCTCACAGGTTGTCATACCATCTTCACAACACCCCACCTCAGTTTTCCTCTTACGTTTTTTCCCCCTCAAGAAGCTGCTTCCAGCACAAGGTGTGTAAGTAATAAACTCTCTTTAAAATGTTTTAAATGCCTTTTTATCTTTAACCTCATTGTTTTGAATGTTGCGTTTGCCACCCTGGGCTCATTTGGAAGAGTATTCTTTATTATTTAATATAAATAATCATTTTATATTAAATAGTATTTATACAGTTTTAAGGCACCTTCCCTTTCACAGACAGCAACAATGGCGAGGCCCTTTCCATTATGGTAGAAGAGACGCAGTACCGGGATTTTTTTGACCCTAAAATAATACTGGATAAATCCACAGTCTCTTTTGCAAAGAAAGACTTAGCAGCAGTAGGACGAAGGAGGAGCTGCATAGAGAGGCCCAGATCAGAGCGACAAGGATAAATAAATAGATCTTACCTTCTCATCCATGTGTATTTTGTTAGTGTTTTCCATCTGGAAGTTATGGCAGGCTCTGAATTCTGTCAATCTGTTCCCTCTGCTTCTGCAGCTCTCCTTGGAATTCATTTTTTTTTATTTCTACAGCACCTCGTTCTACAGCCACCCGGCGGACTCTTCCTTCTAGCTCCATTATGCGGTTCTAAGAGGCAGCAGATACAAAAATTCAGAAGAGAATGTTGGCAATCTTTGCTGTAAATGTGTGTAATCAAAATTTTAACTTCCCGATCTATGCTTGCAGAAAACAAAATTGGACACCGCACAACTACCAGTCACCTGTGAGTCCCCCATGAGCCCATGCTAAATGCTTCTAGAACATGGGATAGGATGGATGGTAAGGGGGGGGAATCACTAGGAATATAATCAGTGCTGATGTGAGGAAAGATTCTTGTTCCTTGGGTTGGGGACAGACAGGATTGTGTGTAGTTAACAGGAAGTGAGGCAAAAACACTGAGTAGAGGGAGAAGGGACACAGAAGGAGCTATTTTCTCTTAAGTAGAGAGTAAGGCAGAAAATGGACTGACGGGCAGAGGCGTTGGGGAGCTGGATGATTGTTCCACACACTAATTCAAAACAGCCAGTCCCAACTTTGTCTCTGGGTCTGTGTTCATATACAGTGGTGCCCCGCAAGATGAATGCCTCGCAAGACGAAAAACTCGCTAGACGAAAGGGTTTTCCGTTTTTTGAGTCGTTCCGCAAGACGAATTTCCCTATGGGCTTGCTTCGCAAGACGAAACGTCTTGCGAGTTCTTGCGAGTTTGTTTCCTTTTTCTTAAAGCCGCTAAGCCGTTAATAGCCGCTAAGCCGCTAATAGCCGTGCTTCGCAAGACGAAAAAACCGCAAGACGAAGAAACTCGCGGAACGGATTAATTTCGTCTTGCGAGGCACCACTGTATGTGTATCCATAGGCATGAGAGAAACAGAAAGAGTTTTTTACACTGATATAGCAGGCAGCAGGGGTTGCATATAGCTCCACAATTTCCTGGTTGAGCAGGATTCAGTATTTAACTACCATCATCACAACCTTTTCCCAGGCACTTCTCTTTTCTCTCATTGTTTGCTCTCCTGGCCAGCATCCAAATTCCTCTCAGGTATGATGATTTGGAAACCCTGAAGTGCTTTTTAAACTTCAATAATTCACTGCAATTCTGAAGAAAGGAAAACATCTTTGCTGATTCCATCAATGTGGAAAACCAATAGAAGAGTAATACCTGCAAATCAATACTGCGGGAACTTGCAATCCAGTAATTGAATCCCAGAACTATTATACAAGCCACAAGTGCCGCGACTAGGAGGGGTGGAGACTTCATCCCTCGACGGCTATTTCCTAGGCCCACCATCTCAAAGTGAAGATGCTAATACCTGTTGATTGAAAGGGGGAAAAGGCATATTTACATTTCCCTTCGCTGAACTTGCAATTGCATCCATGTCACCCCAGAGACACTAACAGCCCAGTTACAAGCTCAGAAGCAAATCCTGTTGATTTCAACACTTAAATCTTATAAATTCCAGTTCTCTTGTTTTACAAAGCACAAATATAATCTGTAAACAAACGAAATAGTCTTTAAAAAGTTTCTACCATTTGTTTTACGTAGTATCTCCTATTAACATCACTCAATGATTATTTTTTTAACTGTTCATGAAACCTTGAGATCTTTTTAAGATAAAGTTGGTAGAATGAATGAATGAGGCAGAAAAGGTCTTAGTTACTGAAACCGATATACTTATATTTGATCATCTTCAGTTGTACAGAAGATGATCGCTAGACGAAAGGGTTTTCCGTTTCTGAGCTGCTTTGCAAGACGATTTTCCCTATGGGCTTGCTTCGCAAGACGAAACGTCTTGCTAGTCTTGCGATTTCCCCCCCCCTTTTTCAAAGCCGCTAAGCCCCTAATAGCCTTTTAGCAGCTTAGCCGCTAATCCTTTAATAGCCGCTAAACCGCTAATAGCGCTAATCCGCTTAGCCGCTAATAGGGTTGCTTCGCAAGACGAAAAAACCGCTAGACGAAGAGAATCGCAGAACGGATTCTTTTCGTCTTGCGAGGCAACACTGTATCTCCTTGAGTAGCTCTATGGCAGCTGCTAGGAAGGGGAGAGCCGCCTCAGCTGGAACACTCAGCAAAGTTGGGTAGGTCATGTCATATCAGTTCTGAATTTTACACAGGAATTATCTAACTTATACAGTGGAACTTCAGTTTTTGAACATACAGTCATACCTCGGGTTGCGATCGCTGTGGGTTGTGCGTTTCCGGGTTACAGACACGCCAAACCTGGAAGTACCGGAACAGCTTGCTTCCGGGTTTCGGCAATTGCGCATGCGCAGAAGCGCTAAATCGCACTTTGCGCATGCACAGAAGCACCAAATTGTGTCATGCACGTGCGCAAATGTGGTGCTGTGGGTTGCAAACGCTGCGGGTTGCGAACGTGCCTCCCGCATGGATCACGTTCGCAACCCGAGGTTCCACTGTAATCCGTTACAGAAGTCCTTTCGACTTCCGAAACATTCGAAAACCGAGGATCAAAGGGCTGTCAGCAAATTCAATGGGGAAAATGGAGAAATGAGAAATCGACTTCCGAGGCACGTTTGAAAACAGAAGCATTCACTTCCGGGTTTTCAGCGTTCAGCTTCCAAAACGTTTGTTAGCCGAGCTGTTCAAAAACCGAAGTTTGACTGCACTGTACACTTATTATCTGGAGGCGAGGGAAGGGGAAACTAACTATTCTGCTCCTTCATTCACACAACACATTGTTACAACATTCATTAAAAAAAGCAATTATCTCTTTCTGCATCTCTTTCTGCATGTGTTACGCTTGCGTTTGCATCTACTTTAGAGAAATATTTCCTTGCCAATTAGGCCTCACTCTCAACAACCGTTTGGCAACATGAGCAAACCTCCATTTCAACAAAACCTGCTATGCCCTGGAAGAAGCGGTGGCGAATGGAAGTTTAGGTTTAACAAAAGTTCTTACTGTCACCCATCACTATAATCATCAGCACAAACATTATAGAAAATGTAGGAACAATTGTGTTCATTTATTGCCTGGCTTCTCTCTAAAATAAGATATCTCAAAACGCAATGCAACCAATAGATTATACTAAAGAATAACAATTTAATAATGTGTTCAGTTGATTGCTTTGTGTTAAACACACCATTAAAACATGATATATAATGGGAGTTAGCAAATATATAGAGCTGAATTAGTACAAGCCTCAATGAAATTAACGAAGCTTGAACTAAATAAGCAGTATTAATATTCAATATGCTATCTTTACCAGTCAGCCAGGCCCATTTTTATCCATTCCACATTGGGTGGGTCTTCACAGAGAAGTGCCTTTGAGGCGAGAGCAAAGTGCCCCTTCTATCACTGCTGTGGCAAAGATTCCCCCCTGGTTCAGATCACATATCTCTTGGTTTTTAAATCAGACTACATCTTGCATCAGCAGTTATTAAGGCTGCCCTTGAAAACTGTTCAGTGGTACAGAATGCAGCTGATCAGCTCCTGGAAGGCAGGAAGATTAGGGAATGCAAATTACACCAGGGTTCCAAAGTCAGCCTTCCAAGCACAGACCCAGGATGATAAATGTAATCTCTAAAGCCAAGGATGGCTAATTTGTGGCCCTGAAGGTGACAGCTCCCATCATCACTGACCGCTGGCCATGCTGACTGGGGCTGATGGGAGTTGGGAGTCCCACAACATCTGGAGGGCCACAGGTCAGCCAGCCCTAAATTGCCCAAGGCCCTTGTTGTTGTTGGTCGTTTAGTCGTGTCTGACGCTTCGTGACCCCATGGACCAGAGCACGCCAGGCACTCCTGTCTTCCGCTGCCTCCCGCAGTTTGGTCAAACTCATGCTGGTAGCTTCAAGAACACCGTCCAACCATCTCGTCCTCTGTTGTCCCCTTCTCCTTGTGCCCTCCATCTTTCCCAACATCAGGGTCTTTTTTCCAGGGAGTCTTCTCTTCTCATGAGGTGGCCAAAGTATTGGAGCCTCAGCTTCAGGGTCTGTCCTTCCAGTGAGCACTCAGGGCTGATTTCCTTAAGAATGAATAGGTTTGATCTTCTTGCAGTCCATGGGACCCTCAAGAGTCTCCTCCAGCACCACAGGCCCTACATACCTTGAATAGCAGAGCAACCTAGCAATAATGAACAAGTAGCTGCCCAGAGGAAATGGCAGGATGGCTCACAGCATTATTATTTGCTTAGCATCATATCCTATTACTGGTGCCACTGAAGAAATACAGGAGAGAGCCACTTAAGACATACAGGAGAGACCTATTAGGATTGAATGCTTTTGCTTTCTCATACAGCTCGTTTCAGCAAGGACATCAATCACTGCAAAGCCAGATAAGGGATGCCATGGAATACAATGAAGAGACAATTTCAAAATGACATGTTCCTCCCCTTCCCTGGTGATGATATTGTGTGACTGAGGATAGGCTGGTCCTTGAGCAACATGCCAGGGTGGATGCTAATCATCACTATCCTCTCCAATGTTCCAAGGCAATCTTTATGTTCAACTAGGGACACAGGTGACGCTGTGGTCTAAACCACAGAGCGTAGGGCTTGCCGATCAGAAGGTCGGCGGTTCGAATCCCCACGACGGGGTGAGCTTCCATTGCTCGGTCACAGCTCCTGCCAACCTAGCAGTTTGAAAGCACGTCAAAGTGCAAGTAGATAAATAGGTACCGCTCCAGCGGGAAGGTAAACGGCATTTCCGTGCACTGCTCTGGTTCGCCTTAGCAGCTTAGTCATGCTGGCCACATGACCCAGAAGCTGTCTGTGGACAAACGCCAGCTCCCTCAGCCTATAGAGCGAGATGAGTGCGCAACCCGAGTCTTCCACGACTGGACCTAACGTTTACCTTTAGGATCAACAAGATCCTCAAGGAGGATCTTGGTAATACTATGTCAAATATAAAAGGTAAAAGAATGAAGAGATACTGAATGCTTCTGAGCTTCATCAAAGCCAGTTCTGGAAGTCTTCCAAACAAAGTGTTTTTTTAATAAGGAACACATCCTTTTCTTCCCTTACAATTTGTACTGAACCAACAGCGTAGGGCAGAAAGCAAATATTCCACATCACCATGTCTGACTTGAACTTAAGCCCAACAACAATAAAAACGTTGCAAATCTTAAGTCTACTGCATGCTGCAAATCATACTTTAAAGAAGTGATGCCACAAATAAATGCTATTTATCTGATGAATTATCTGAAAGTATAATTCTGACAGCATACGGCTGGTAGACATTGCTTGCAGATGACTTGCTTCAGTTATCAGGAAAAGAGAAAGTCTTTCCCTAGAGGCACAGTTTCCATATGGGAGGAAAAGAGGCAGGACCGGTAAGTACATGCTGAATCACTAAACGGAGAGACTCAAGCCAAGAATGGATAAATCTCTGTGGGATCTGTGGAACACATGGCAGAAATCACTGGGATTTCTGTTTTAGCCCAAATACAGCAGGCTAATGTTTTATTTATTTATTGAATGAATGAATGAATGAATGTATACAGCCACCTATCAATAAATATTCTCTGGACAGCCTTACACCAAAACATTTCTAAAATATACACAAATTAAAGCAAATAAAAACAGAGGAAACTTCCTTAACAACAGAAAGGGCATTACAAAAATGTACAGCCCAGACAATGGTGTCCAACAATTCTGTGAACCACCCTGAGACCTTATGATGAAGGGAGGTATATAAACCAAAACAAATCAAAACAAGAAATGTTTGTAAGGAACAGGATGCAATGTTGTTGCCAGTTCACAACCCTGAAAATAGGAGTATATTGCTCAAGGCAAGAGGCAAAAATGATGGCTTCTACTCCCTATCTCTGCCCTGGTCACATTGGTCTGGCTCACTTCTGTCTCCTGCATAGTCTTCCAACTATTTTGAAAGCTACTATTTCTAGCCTTGAGTCCTGCTCAAATCAACAGGCAGGGAAAGGGGTTCAAATGACAGGAGAGGACAACTGGAGGAACAGTAAAGAAAAACCTTGCTGCACTGGGAAATTTAAGGTTTGCACACATATTTTCTGGTTTGGGACTCATCCAAAACACGGTGCAGTACTGACTGTATTCAAATAGGAGGTGGCAGGATTTGTCTAGGTCAAATATGTTAAAATTTTAGCCACTAAAACAAGTAACAGTGTACTCACTGGTATTTTAAAACTAGAAACATGGGAAGCTCCTGATATCAAGTCCATGTAGTTCAGTGTTGACACTGACTGGCTCAGAGCAGCTTACAAAAACTAAAACACTAAAAGGACCTAACAAAACAATATAAAAACAGTTAATAATTTCTTCAAGGTATTTATAAGCAACCGTCTGGGGACATGCCTCCACAAAGTGATGCCTAAGGA